CCTAGGCCTCCCTTGTCAATGCAGTCCTTGAAAAAGTCGAGAAGATCGTCTTGAAACGGTTTTCACCTTTGCGGTAACAGATGCAGATCCCAGGGCTCGTTCCCTAGACCTTACCTCGCCCATGTACAGTACTAGGTAGACGCCTGTGTGTTTTGAACCCGTGATCTGTGTTTTGGTAGCCGACTGTTGTCTATCGTAGGTCTGTGTAGTTGTCGGGTCTTGAACTGTAGGTCTGTCGAGTAGAGGTCATAGCTGTGTAGGGGTCGTAGTTGTTGCAACTCTGAAAGGTCAAGGTCGTAGCTGCTCCAGTCCTGAAAGGTCAAGGTCGTAGCTGCTACAGTCCCGAAAGGCCAAGTCCACAGACTTCTGGAAGGTCCGGAACTGGCCTTTCGAGTGTTGCTCACGTTAGACCAGAGGCAAGTGGGCAAGTGGGTAGTCCAACTTTGCTTAGTCAGCGGTATCCACTCCCAGTCTCACTTTGTCCAGTCAGCAAACACCATGTGGGACTGTGTGCGCCATGGGCCCAGTGGAAAGGGGCAGACCAGCGACCAACAGAAGTATAAATCAAGAGGCATCGTCCAGCCATTCATTCATTCTGCTGTGTGCCATGCGTAAGCGCTGCCCTAGCGTCTTGTGCGAGGTGGTCTGCAGATGCCCGAAGTCGAAGTGGGCTGAGAGGGAGATAGAGCAGCCATCGCTGCTTGTAGTTAGTGTTAGAAGGCGGCCATAGCTGCCACAGTTAGCGAGAGTCAGTAGTGTATGTGTGTGCATGATACAGAGTAGGAGTGCGTGGGATATTYAGGGAGGTCCAGAGTGAGTGTTGTGAATACAGTGTCGGACAGGTGATGTGTATGCGCTCAGGCGCCATAGCCAATTGAAGCGAGTTTGTATCTGAACTGTGTTCGCGGCCTTAATATCTCTGAGCTTTGAGTGGGCGCCTGTCGCCAGTGTGGATTGCCACTTGTCTGCATGCATGCTGAACGGAGAAGAGAATGAGTTTGGTTGCAGTCTCCTAATATGGGCCAGAATTGCAACCAAAACTCTTTTGATAAGCCATCGATGCCTGGAGCTTTGTCCTTGCCCATTTGGGAGTGTTATTTAAAGTCCCCCCTTGGTGATAGGCTTGTCGAGGTCCTCGGTCTGTTCCGGTTTGATTGTCCTCTCTAGGTGGGACATCATGTGCTGGTGGGTGGTAAAATGAGTGTAATGTTCCAATCCCCTGCTATAATTGCAGTTTGGGGATTTGGCAGGAGTGACTTGATGTTGTTAAAGAACTCCAGTCATTCACTTTCTGCATTAGGGGCGTATAGGTTCAGAATCCTCAGGTCTTCTTCTTGCCACCTGATGTCGATCCACGACCATCTGCCTTCTATATCGTCGCCTTCTCCTTTGAAGATCTGTCCTTCGGACAGGATTTTGGAGGTGCGGGGGGACTAGGATTGCAACACTCATTTGCTCAGTCAGTCTTTGTTGAACCACAATGTGAAGGCGCATCCTCCCAGGCTCTTTTCTATTGTCCTTTTGATTTTGGCATGGTTGGGCGGATTGGAGAGGTGGGTTTCTTGCAGTAAAACAGCATCGGGTTCTGGCTTGTTTTTATTTGTAAAGCCTCCCCGAATGTCCTGTGGTTTATCCTCCTCGGTGAGTATCTTGCCGAGGCCACTGACATTCCAGTTGTGAATTGTCAGGCCCTTGGCTTGCTAGTAAATTCTGATGGCGTTCTCTAGCAGGCTGTTGTCCTCCATTGGGGGTGTGATAATCAGGAGTGCTGGGGTTTATATCTTGTTTGATTCGGATGTTCGCTGATTGTGGTTGAGATTTGTGTGGTTGCTCTCATCGGGTGGTAGACATGGGTTTCTCATCCGTTGCTGCCGTGGTCCCCTCACTGTTCGTCGTGGACCCTCCACTATCCTCACTGTCCCTCTTTCCACTGTCGACCGTAATCTGTACTCCCCCATGCTGCCCTCGGGCGCCGAGGTGGTACCAGTCTCAGCGTTGCCCAAGGGGATCCTATCGGCCAGTACGTCATTGTAGTCCTCTCCCATGCTCCCGTCGTCATCCTCGGGTTCCAGATAGAGTGGCACAGCTTTGTCCTGCAGGAAGTGCTCTGCGGAGAGGATGCGGGACCTGATGATGGTGGCCAAGGAATCACTCATGACCTCTGCCGGGCACATCTTGCCTGCAAGAGTGCTGTAAGGCAGAGCTGTCACCGTGTTCCATGCCCTCCACAGCAGTCCCTTGCGTAGTCCGGCTTTTTCTTCCATTTTTAGGAGTATTGATTGAATTTGATTCAAAGGGCTTAGCTGAATCGGGGTCCTGGTGTGTCTATTTTGGGTTTTCTGCAAAGGAGGGTGGGATTCTGAAGGCCCCCTACGGGCAATCTTCAGATATTCCTTCCCTGATGGCTCTGGACAGTGTCCGCTGGTCTCCTATTGTCGGAATAGCAAAGGATCCGAATTTTCTCCTGTAGTGGGGACCAAGGGCCTGACGGCCCTGATGGTCTTGCGGTCTGAGGCAGCTTTCTCAGCAGCGTGGGGAGCCCTGTTCTCAACAACATTTTGGATTGTGCAGTATTCTTTTTTCATGTTTTTTGTGTTTTTTGTGGTATTCCTTAAACAAAAAAAAAAAAAAAAAAAAAAAGCCCAGGGTGTTGTAGAGGTCAAGGACCAGACCCGCGGTGATTGCTGGTAGCGGCAGCCAATGGATGTCCTGACAGGATAGGCCACAATGTTCTGTCTAGAGAGTCTTTGCATAGTTTATTTTTAGGGAAGTGTCATGATGCGACCAGACACTTCGGCTACAAAAAGACAAGTGCTTATCTCATTCAGCGATTTTGGTGCCCCACTATGCTTGAGGACGTCCATGGACTTCATGGATACCCTTGTGACCAGCAAAAGTGGCAAGCGACATATCTTACGCTAGGTTAGTTGCAATACTGGAGACCGCAAAGACGGAGCACGTTACCAAGTTATTCACGGAGCATTGGGTGCGTGATTTCAGACTGCCCAAGTCTATTGTGAGCAACAGAGATGTCCATTCATGAGTGAACTGTGGAAGAAAGCGGCTGAACAGATGGGCAGTCCACTGCAAATGACTTCAGGGAATCACCCTGTAGCCAATGGCCAAGTGGAGCAAATGAACTGCGTGGTGCAACACTTCCTTCGACACTACCTCAAGCCGAGCCAAGAGGACTGGGATGAGAAGCTTCCTCTCATCGCCAGCTTGTACGATGAAGGAGGCGGCGATGACGACAGCAGCTCAAATTGTTGCTGAGTACGAGCGCGAACTCAAGGGGAAAGCAGCTAAATGAAAGCATCTCAGTGGACTTTCGAAGCTGAGGAGGAGGGAGTGCAAGGAAATAGGCCTCGCAAGGGGCCCTACGGTCATACCCGCGCCCCAACCACTTTTCACCGGGCTCTAGGGGCCGCGGGTCGGGTTTTCTCTAGCCTGGCCACACTTTTCAGTCTCTGCGGCCAGTTTGCCTGTGTTACCATGCCCTCACTTTCCAGAAAAGGGGCCGCTGTGCGACATGTCATGCACGGCCTCTCGGCAAATGAGAGAGCAGCAACCAGCGACGATGACGTTCCACAGTTGGGCGACCAAACTGTCGAGCCCAGGCCAAGGGCGCAGATCCTGAGGCCCGACTTGAAGCTACTGGGCCCCAGGGCGCACCAGCATTTTCCATAAAGGAAAGTGCCTTGCACCCAGCCAGGCATTCTGGCCGTGAGCGCACTGCAGCAGCGCTGCTGGACTGGGCGCAGGAGGCTGCAAGGCACAAGGACCAGGGCACACATGAGCGCTGCCTGAGAGCAGTGCACGGGTCAGCCATAGCCAGGCTAGGCCTGCTGATGCTGGTGATGACAGTGGTGGTCCGGCACAAGGGAGAGAGACTGTGGGATAAAGGTAGAAGAGACACATACCTGATGTGTATGTGGTGGTCTGCGTGGGTGACTTCGTCATGTAGATTTGGTCTTCGGCTGGAGTGTTTCCTGGTTGCATCGCCGTAGTTTCAGGCTAGTATAGGAACTGAGTAGTAGGAGGCTGGGTGCCGAGCGCCATTCAACATTGTATATATTGTTGATGGTGGTGCGTTGGGCTGACATTGACATTGCATTGCTATTATTTGGCTTGTATCTCGGTGCATACTACTTTCTGCTTGGTACACGACTACCTCGTCTGTGATGTTGCAATTTGGTTTTCTGTCTATTGCTCTCGCTCATTTTCCTTGGAGTGATGAAAAATGCAATTAAATTGTGAAAAATTAATAATCTACTTTGTCGTTATTGCTTGGGTATGTTGGGCCTACCATTTCCTGTCTGAGATCTATTGACCCAAGAACAATGTGAGTTTCGATAACAAGTCAGTTACAGTCAATTTGAGATTCCAAACCTAACTTGGTAAGTAGTTTGAACCACGTGAGTGTTTCTGTGCGATGCTGGTATGGTGAGTGAGGCCCATCATAACCACGCCAGGTACAGTGAACATAAACTTCTGACGCATGCCTCCACTCCCACACTCTACAATTAGTCAAGCGTAAAACCAATGGACACAAGTCAGATTGCATGGAGGAGGATTTCACTGCAATACAAAACATTTTCGCATCCAACTTAATTTGCACAACAGTGACATAGGAAAAGCAGACATACCTGAACCAGCATGTCTGCCACCATACCAAAGTGCTCCTCACTCCATGCATGCACGTGATATAGCAGAAGTGACCGAAGGAGCTTCATGAAGGGAGCCCTCCAAAGCTGCTGGCCCCGTACAATAAGGGCTATAACAGATTTCAGTGCAAAAGTCCACACCTCCTCGCTGCAGCACCACAAGGAAGGAAAATCGTCGACTTAGAAGTGCTAATCTCCTGGTAACAGAAGCGATCATGTGCAAATCAGACAGGATGCTCTGTGTGAGTGTGAGAGAGAGAGAGAGAGGGAGG